TCTAAATAACCAAAATGCCCAGGGTGATGATATTTGGCCAGTAGCATGCTGAGATGAAGGGCTACAAAGTTTGTTCAAATGAATGACCTTGACCCACTTTCAAGGTCACAGGGGTCAAATGTCTTTAAATCTTCAAACAACTTTTTCTCAATAACCAAAAGGCCCAGGGTATTGATATTGGGCCTTTAGCATGCTGGGATGAAGGGCTACCAAGTTTGTTCAAATGAATTACCTTTACCCACTTCCAAGGTCACAGAAGTCAAATGTCTTAAAATCTTCAAACGACTTCTTCTCAATAACCAAAAGGCCGAGGGTACTGATACTGGGCCTGTAGCATGCTGGGATGAAGGGCTACCAAGTTTGTTTGATTGAATGACCTTGACCCACTTTCAAGGTCACAGGGGTCAAATGTGTTAAAATCTTCAAACGACTTCTTAATAACCAAAAGGCCCAGAGTACTGATATTGGGCCTTTAGCATGCTGGGATGAAGGGCTACCAAGTTTGTCCGAATGAATGACCTTGACCCACTTTCAAGGTCACAGTGGTCAAATGTGTTAAAATCTTCAAACAACTTCTTCTCGATAACCAAGAGGCCGAGGGTACTGATATTGGGCCTGTAGCATGCTAGGATGAAGGGCTATCAAGTTTGTTCAAATGAATGACCTTCACCCATATTCAAGGTCACAGGGGTCAAATATGTTAAAAACTTTAAAACAACTTCTTCTGAATAACCAAAATGCCCTGGGTGATGATATATGGCCAGTAGCATGCTGGGGTAAAGGGCTATCAAGATTGTTCAAATGAATGACCTTCATCTATATTCAAGGTCACAGGGGTCAAATATGTTAGAAACTTTAAAACAACTTCTTCTGAATAACCAAATTGCCCTGGGTGATGATATTTGGCCAGTAGCATGCTGGGGTAAAGGGCTATCAAGATTGTTCAAATGAATGACCTTCACCTATATTCAAGGTCACAGGGGTCAAATATGTTAGAAACTTTAAAACAACTTCTTCTGAATAACCAAAATGCACTGGGTGATGATATTTGGCCAGTAGCATGCTGAGATGAAGGGCTACCAAGTTTGTTAAAATGAATGACCTTCGCCCATATTCAAGGTCACAGTGGTCAATATATGTTTAAATCTTTTAATGACTTGTTCTGTATAACGAAAAGGTCCAGGGTAATGATATTTTGGCAAAAGCATGCTGGGTTGGAAGACTATAAAATCTGTTCAACCTAATGTCCTTGTTCAACATTAAAGGTCTCAGTCGTCATATGTTTAAATCTTTTAATAGGTTCTTATGAATCAAACACTGATATTCTGCCTCTAGCAGTATTTTAGTCCACGTTTAAGATTAAAAGTGTGAGATTAATACCAGGTGAGCGATTCAGGCCCATTGGGCCTCTTGTTTAATGTTTCATGAAGTCTACCAAAAATTATACTGCATAAATAAGGCAAATCATACATCAAAATAAAGAAAACATATTTTCCTGTCGATTTAGACTGCTCCTGGCGTCATATACTATGAATGGTTTTGACAAAATTGCTTGTTTTCTGGAACAGGGTCATTTTACTATAGGGGAATTTGAACAGTTAGCAACCTTGAATATATTATGTGTGTATTGACAGACCAGACTTGTATCTTGGCCTGAATCACAGTATACTGTGGTGTGTTGGTTGATGAAGGCATGTCCGGCAAGGATGTTGAAGTATAATGTATTATTGTTCTCAATGATTCATATCCCTTATTACTGTTGGTTTCTTCCTGTTGATAACTCTATCAACATTCCTGATCAGTTCTCCACTGTCTGTATATATATATATAGGGATTTTATTCGGGGAAATTTCCTCACATATGGGGTAATATTTACCCTATTTCTGAGGGAAATTCCCAATCGACATAACTTTCCCCAATTTCAGTAAAATTTTCCACCATTCATTGCCACCAACGTTAACAGTCATGCTTGGGTGATCATGATCACTTGCAATTGTTGCCCCAGGCCTAGGGCTGTACATGTGAATCGAAGGAGCCAGTTTACCTGTGCTTTGGTCATTGGCGAGAAATCATGCAATAACTGGCTTACTGCATGCTTCCCAACTCGAACAAAACAGAAAAGTTGAATAAAAAACTGTTCACCTGGACAATCTTTTTACTTACTGCATGCTTCCCACCTCTCACAATGAAAAAGTGTAGGCAATAAATCACTTGCTACCACAGTCCACTGCACACATAATCCCCTTTCAAGGCCAATCATGATTACATGACCATGAAAGGGTGTGTGCCCAGTGGACTGTGGTCACAAATGCTGTAAGAAAGGGGAGATAATCAATCAGTAAAACAATACAGGGGAAAGGATAAACTTATATAATAAGTTGACACATTTAAAATAAGAAAAAAGAAGAAGTTAAAAATGGTAATTCATGATTGATAAACAAACAAAAAGATTTCCTTATCACGTGAGAGGATAAGCATTTCCTGGAAAAGTTTATAATCTTTAGAAGCTGTTCCTTTATACAAAATTGCACATTCAAATATACCATTAATGAAAGAACTGGAATTCCTTAGAGATTGTTAAACCCTTATATTGTATGCATGAAAATGGTTTCAATATCCTGTACCTTTGCCACATCTTGAAAATTAAACTGAAAATGTAGTCAGAAATTCAACATTGTTTCCCGTATTTTGTTCCTATTGTTGAACAGACACTCCTTAACTTCCCTGACACTGGAGCTGGATAGTAATCCAAAAACACTTGTATCCATTATGAAGGATACACTCAGACTGGGCTATTGAGAATAAAGACAATCTTACCTGGTTGTGATTATTACTCACACAGGTACATGTAAATTATCTGCAGTGTACATGTAGGGTAGATAAAAAGATTGTCCAGGTGAACATTTTTTACTCAATTTTTCTGTTTTGTTCGAGTTGGGCAGCATGCAGTAAGCCAGTTATTGCATGATTTCTCGTCACTCGGCACTTATTACACCCTCGCTTCGCTCGGGTGTAATAAATCCCTTGTTACTCGAAAACCATGCAATAACCTTTACCTACCCTACACTGCAGATAATTTACATGTACCTGTGTGAGTGAGTACTAATCAGAATCAGGTAAGTTTGTCTTTATTCTCAATAGCCCAGTCTGAGTGTATCCTTCGTAATGGATACAAGTGTTTTTGCATTACTATATCCAGCTCCAGTGTCAGGGAAGGTAAGGAGTGTCTGTTCAACAATTAGAACAATATACGGGAAAGAATGTTGAATTTCTGACTACATTTTCAAGATGTGGCAAAGGTACAGGACATTGAAACCATTTTCATGCATACAATATAAGGGTTTAACAATCTCTAAGGAATTCCAGTTCTTTCAATGAATGGTATATTTGAATGTGCAATTTTGTAAAAAGGAACAGCTCCTAAAGTTTATAAACTTTTCCAGGAAATGCAAATATTATCCTCTCGCGTGATAAGGAAATCTTTTTGTGTTTTTCAATCATGAAATTACCATTTTTAACTTCATTTTTCCCTCTTATTTTAAAATGTGTCAACTAAGTTTATCCTTTCCACTGTATTGACTTCATTGTTACTCACTGATTGATTATCTCCCCTTTCTTACCGTATTTGTAACCACAGTATCATGATTGGCCATGAAAGGGGCCCCAGGGGCCTGATGGGCGGAGCCAAATAGGGGAAACATAGCAAATTATTCTTTAAAATCCTGCTTCTTCTGTAGGAATGAAAGGATTTGGTCCATATTTGGTCAGAAGCATCCTTTGGTGAAGGGGATCCAATTTTGTATAAATCAAGGGTCTGGCTCTGCAGGGGCCTGAGGGGCGGGGCCCAATAGGGGAAACATAGCAAATTATTCTTTAAAATCCTTCTTCTTCTGTAGGAATGAAAGGAGTTGGTCCATATTCGGTGTGGAACATCCTTGGGTAAAGGGGAACCAAGCTATGACTTAGAAACTAGGTCCCTAGGGGTTTGGTCAGGGAACCAATTTTGTATAAACGGTGTGTCTGACCCCCCTGTAGGCAGAGAGGTGGGGCCCAACAGGGAAAATAGAGGTAAAACCTTTAAAATCCTTCTCCTACCATTGGGATCAAGGGATTTTATCCTTATTTAGTGTGGAGCATCCTTGAGTGGCTGTGACTCAATTTTGTATAATTGGTTGGTATGACCCCCGTAGAGGCATAGGGGTGGGGCTCTGTTTGAAGTTTGTTCTCTATATCTCAAGTACTGGATGGATCTTTCTGAAAAATGTAAACTAGAGACAATAACTAACAATTTTCATATAACTTTTATTCACATATAACATACATTTTTCAAGTTATGCACATTTGAAAAATCAAGTAAATTAATCTATATTTCAATAATTAATTCAGCAGTGGTGCCCCTTTACATAAAAAAACAATGTAGCAGCATAAAGGGTTAAACAAATTCTCCCGCTTCCTTTCGCACGCCTGTTTGGCAGCGTTTTGGATTCCTGCTAAATGTCCCTGATGGAAAATCACTCTCCACTTGCCGCATATGTTTCGTAGATTTAAGTTACAAGTCGGGGAACACATCAAACATGGCGACGCATTTGAAGAGGAAGCATAACATTTCGTCATCCTGTATCGTATCAAAATGTATCGTATCGTGGGTAGATATCGTGATACGTATCGTATTGTGGCATACATTTTTGTAGGTGTATCGTTACAGCCCTACTGACCATGTATATGAAAAGCTGAATGCACTCACAAATTGCCCCTGTGGACGTTACCTTACAAACAGTTAATATCATGATCACTAGACCCTATTATAATATACATTGTATGCGTGCTGGTCATGAGGAGATAAACACTATCATGCTACCAGGAATTAAATACTTTTAATGAGAATATTTTCCCATGCTAGCCTACAACTATCCAGGTGAGCAATACAGGCCTTCTGAACCTCTTGTGGAATTACGTATTGACAATTAAGTCTACATTGATACTTATGTTTCATTTTTCAGGGCAGCTCCTTCATTTGGGAAGATTTCACTTGTAAGGCTGCCAAGCTGCACTCTTCCCTCAAGTAAGTTTGATCTTGTACATGTGCTGTATATATATATACTCTGCATGTATATATATACATTAAAGAAGTTCCTCTATTAGGCTCCACCCCTCTGCCCCAAATTATATAATCATAATTTACCTGTAATAACTTCCTTAAAGATTTATTTCACCCTCATGATCTGTTCTTGTTAGTTCACCTGGCAGGTAAGTGCTTGTGAGCTTATGGTATGGTCTTGTAGTCTGTCATCTGTCATTTTTTTCTCAGAAAGACTTCTTTAAAGAACAGGAGGACCTAGGATCATGATATTTGGCCAGTAGGTACCATGGATGGAGTACTAGTGCTTTATGGTTTCTCAATAAATAACCTTGACCTACTTTCAAGATCACACATGTCAAATGTTTTAAAACCCTTTAAGCAACTTTTTCTTTGGTATTTGGCCAGTAGGTACATTGGATTGCATAGAGTGCTATGAATTTTCCTACTTTCAAAACCACAGTGGTCAAATATATGAACGTTTTCAAACAACTTCTTCTGAATAACCAGGAGGCCCAAAAGTGATGATACTTGACCAGTAGATTCCTGGGATGTAGTGTTATGAAGTTCTTGAAGTGGCCTGGATGATCATGACCTAAACCTTCAGTGGAGGTCATTGGGGTCAAATGTGTTAAAACTTTTGAACAACCTTTTTAGCCCACTATCACCAAAATCTTTCTCCTTTTGCATTAATGTGGGTATTTAAACCAAATGTGTTCTTGAACATCCTTAAGGAAAGGGGGCTAAACTTTGTATAAATGGAGGCTGTGACCCCCCTTTGAGGCAGAGGGGTGGGGCCCAATAGGGGGAATAGAGAAAAATATCAAAATCCTTCTCCTTTTAAATAAACCGATGAAAGGATTTGAACCAAACTTATATATTCTAGAGCATCATTTGGATTTCCATTTTGTATAAATGGAGGATGTGCCCCTGCCTTTGGGGCAGATGGGTGGAGCCTATTAGAGGAACGTCTTAATAATTCTTCTTATTCAGTTCGTTTGGAGGGATTTTAACCAAATTTTCTGTAGAGAAACCTTGGCAAAGACATTTTTTTTTGTAAATGGAGAGTATGTCTCCCAGGGAAACTTGAGGGAAATCTTTAAAATCCTTCCCTTTTTATAAGATTGGAGGGATTTTTACCAAATTTGGTCCAGAGCATCTTCGGCAAAGGGGTTTCAATTTTTAAAAAAATGGAGAGAGTGCATTTGGCCTCCTTTAGGAAGAGGGTTGGGGTTCAACACGGGAAATTGACATTAATGTTTAAAATCAATCCCACTTCGTGGGGGTAGAAAAAAGGGGACCCAATGAGGGACTGGTGTTGCCATAAGACAGAACCAATATTTGGAAATAGTTACAGTATTATGTTTAATTTGATGAGAATATTTTGCAATGGACATGGTTGCTAAATTATCCAGGTGAGCGATACAGGCCCTCTGGGACTCTTTGTTGTGTTCTGCCCTACATTTAGACATGGGATGATTAAATTCTCATATTTCTCCATTTGCACAGGAAATTGTGTGACTTGAGAGGTTGTCTTATTTAAGTGAGTTGTCCTCCACTTCCGGTGAAACCAAGGAATAACGAAGCACACTCATTGTGGCTGAACACATTTGTGTTTGGTGCTACAGTAATTATATAAGTGCTGCCAAAAAAATATTAGTTTTTATGCACTCAAACTTTGGCCTCCATTGCAATATAATTAATCTGTTGATAGAGCTGATTTTTCAATGCACATTTAAATCTTTGGCTGTACATGTACAGTGCTATAATGGTGTGTACAGTGCTATAATGATATGTACAGTGCTATAATGATATGTACAGTGCTATAATGATATGTACTGTGTTATAAGGATGTGTACAGTGCTATAAGGATATGTACAGTGCTATAATGATATGTACAGTGCTATAATGATGTGTACAGTGCTATAAGGATATGTACTGTGTTATAAGGATGTGTACAGTGCTATAATGATATGTACAGTGCTATATGTACAGTGCTATAATGATATGTACAGTGCTATAAGGATATGTACAGTGCTATATGTACAGTGCTATAAGGATATGTACAGTGCTATAAGGATATGTACAGTGCTATATGTACAGTGCTATAAGGATATGTACAGTGCTATAATGATATGTACAGTGCTATAATGATGTGTACAGTGCTATAATGATATGTACAGTGCTATATGTACAGTGCTATAATGATATGTACAGTGCTATAAGGATATGTACAGTGCTATATGTACAGTGCTATAAGGATATGTACAGTGCTATAAGGATATGTACAGTGCTATAAGGATATGTACAGTGCTATAAGGATATGTACAGTGCTATAAGGATATGTACAGTGCTATAAGGATATGTACAGTGCTATAAGGATATGTACAGTGCTATAAGGATATGTACAGTGCTATAAGGATATGTACAGTGCTATATGTACAGTGCTATATGTACAGTGCTATATGTACAGTGCTATAAGGATATGTACAGTGCTATATGTACAGTGCTATATGTACAGTGCTATAAGGATATGTACAGTGCTTTATATTTATATTTCCATAATAAGAATTCGCAAAAAATAATTTATGTCTTTTCCAAATTTCAAATTTCCCGCTTATTACCGTCATGTCAGGTCAATATCTAGAACGGCACAAAGATAACAGCTGACGTCAAGCGCTATTTCCCATACACAATTGAAATGACTCCGCAACTTTCTTTAATAATTCATTTGTTTTTAATATATATATATATCATATTCTCGATTCATAAATAGTAACAAATAACATTTTGTAAGTAACTAATCAAGTGTCGTAAAACATTTTCCGATTTTATTGCGACCTATATCCGGCACACGCACTCAACGGAAGTCTGCAGTAATCAGGTCAGAGTTACATTTGAAGTCCGGCATGTTGTTGATGTTGATCGTGCAACCGGAGAAGGTTGAATTGGTGAAAAATCCAGGCATACAATTGTCTGTTGATCACACAGACACTTGAGACAGGCAGCTGGTGTTCGGGAGCAAAGCAGAAGATACTGATAAGTTCGGTAGTGACACTGTTAAGTTGCTCGGAGGTGCAAAGACCAACTTCAGTTATAGTCTCATAAGATGAAATTTACAGTGCTATAAGGATATGCACAACTAATTAGAAGGATGTGGAATCTACATGTGAAATTTGAGATTGGCTTGTCGGACATCTTGGTTTTTCAATCGGTCCCAAGATTCAATATGCATAACTACAAAAATGAACATGTAGGTACCACCAAAAACATTCTTGTTTCTTTTCAGAAAGATCCCTCATGCTTTTTTTGAGGAATAGCCCCAACAAATTTTAAGTTTCAATATTGAAATGGGATGGGGGTGGGGGTAGGGGTGTCAGGGTGACTATTGCTCTCAATTGCAAATCTAGTTACTTCCCTTCTCCATGAATTTGTTCCACCGTTTTCCTTAAAAAGTTGGATTCCAGTGATGCCTCTTGTGAGTATTGGGCTGCATGATTGCAGTACCGCATTCAACATAGCTGCTGCAGTTTCTGATTTGTTGAAATGTTGCCCTCCATTTTCTCAGAAACTGCAAGACAGATTTCAATGAAAATTAATATGAGTATTGGTAAACATGGTTATGAAAGAAAGCTTTTCTACACAACGGCACTTCGAAGATGGGTGCCATCATGACCTCTCATCGGTCAAAATTTCGATATTAACTGATTTCGATAAGATTTGCTATATGGAGATAAAATATGCCATTTACATAGAATAGCATAATTAACTCATCTGGTCCAAAGGACCAAGGTGTGTCAATGCCATGCTGTGGCGTGTGTCGGTCAACAAAACAGCGTCTTCTTCATTACTGCTGATGGGAATTTAACCAAATTTGCCTGGAAGCATCATTAGGTGGTGAGGATTCAAAAATGTACAAATGAAGGACGGGCCAAAAAGGGTCATAACATGACTTGTCTGAATCTAAGAGATAGATTTCAACCAGATTTGGATGGAAGCATTCTTAAGTGGTGGGGATTTAAAATTGTACAATTTATTTGGTAACCCCTAAGGTGGTGGAGATTCAAAATTGTAAAAAATATAAAAATGGCCCCCCTAGGTAGGGACTGAGGAACGAGGCCAAAAAAGGATTATTCTGTCATATTGGTTTAGGCAACTTCTCCTCTGGAACAAAGTTAGGAGGAGTTGAAGCTTTTTCAGGAAGTGAGGATTCACAATTAAAAAGAAAGACAGACTGACTCCCCGGATCTTAGGGGCTGGGCAAAAAAGAATGTTTAACTTTGACGTTATATAGATCCCCACCCAATAACATGTATATATTTGTAGAGCATCAAGAAACAAACACAATCATGATAAATATAATAAGAAATGATCTGGGGTCTTGCCCAAACCCTAGGGACTTATTTAATTCCTGAGCCATAACATTAAATCTTGCTGGGCATAAAGGTCATGGTGAGCAATACAGGCCCTCTGAGTCTCTTGTTTACATGGTTTAACATAGCAACGAAGGTCATTTCAGGACTTCTATCATAGCTGCTGTTACAATCAGAACTTATTATTGTCATGCTTCCTCTAATTTGCTCCGCATGTTCCACCATTTTTTGGTAAACTATCATTCGGCTGCATGCAGTTGTACATCCAAGATTGCCACTGGTAAGTTGTTTATATATTGACCTGTGTGTGGGTTGGTATATTAACCTCTGTGTAGGTTGTTATATTAACCTGTGGGTGGGTTGAAATTGGTGAAAAGTAGGCCCACCATTATCTGAGAAAATGCAAGGTGAATTCCTATGAAATGTCATATGAGTCTTAGTAGACATGGCTAGATGTGGGAGACACCTTTGTTTTAACCACTGCATATCCAAGATGGCTGCCATATAGCCTTTGATTGGTTGTAATTTTATAAATATTGGCCAATTTTGATTTAAATTGGTATTGACTTATTGTTAAAATTAACCTCTGCGTGGGTTGTTATATTGACCTCTATGTGGGTTGTTATATTGACCTGTGTGTGGGTCGGTATATTGACCTCTGTGTGGGTTGGTATATTGACCTCTGTGTAGGTTGGTATATTGACCTGTGTGTAGGTCGGTATATTGACCTGTGTGTGGGTTGGTATATTGACCTGTGTGTGGGTTGGTATATTGACCTCTGTGTAGGTTGGTATATTGACCTGTGTGTAGGTTGGTATATTGACCTGTGTGTGGGTTGGTATATTGACCTCTGTGTGGGTTGGTATATTGACCTCTGTGTAGGTCGGTATATTGACCTGTGTGTAGGTTGGTATATTGACCTGTGTGTGGGTTGGTATATTGACCTCTGTGTGGGTTGTTGAATTGACCTCTGTGTGGGTTGTTATATTAACCTCTGTGTAGTTTGTTATATTAACCTCTGTGTGGGTTGTTTTATTAACCTGTGTGTGGGTTGGTATATTGACCTCTGTGTGGGTTGTTATATTAACCTGTGTGTGGATTGTTATATTGACCTCTGTGTGGGTTGTTTTATTAACCTGTGTGTGGGTTGGTATATTGACCTCTGTGTGGGTTGTTTTATTAACCTCTGTGTGGGTTGTTACATTGACCTCCATGTGGGTTGTTATATTAACCTCTGTCTGTGTGGGTTGTTACATTGACCTCTGTGTGGGTTGTTTTGGGGACTTCTGTAATGGCCACTGTTAGGATGAGAACTTGTTTGATTGTAGCTTTCAAATAACATTTGCAGTGATATTTGAGTAATAAAGTTCATTACAATACTATTCTTATTAAGTGTTACTGATGTATGTTGCAGAGCTACACTAGGTGCCATTGGCGCATTTTTAGATGCTTTCCAGAAGGTTGCAGACATGGCAACAGGATCAAGAGGTAAGTCTGATTATCCCCTTTAATATATATGTAGTGCTCTGGTAGTGACCTAGAACACTTAACTTTACCACCAAAGAAATTTGAATGTGTATAGATGGAATAAGAAGTTTGTCAGCGTCTCTTTGTTGTATAATTAAACATAATGGATTCGAATATGTTCCATCAGACGTAGAAACCAAGTAGTGGCTGATATCAAACTCTCATCCACAGTTCTTAACATCACATGATATCAAACTCTCACATACAGTACTTTACATCACGTGATATCTAACTCTCGCATACAATACTTAACATCACATGATATCTCACTCTCACATACAGTACTTTAACATCACGTGATATCTAACTCTCATATACAGTACTTTACATCACGTGATATCTAACTCTCATATACAGTACTTAACATCACATGATATCTAACTCTCACATACAATACTTAATATCACATGATATCTAACTCTCATATACAGCACTTAATATCACGTGATATCTAACTCACACATACAGTACTCAACATCACATGATATCTAACTCATACATATAGGACTTAACATCACATGATATCTTACTCTCACATACAATACTTAACATCACGTGATATCTAACTCTCATATACAGTACTTAATATCACGTGATATCTAACTCTCACATACAGTACTTAACATCACGTGATATTTTACTCTCACATACAGTACTTAACATCACGTGATCTCTAACTCTCACATACAGTACTTAACATCACGTGATATAGAACTCTCACATCCAGTACTTTTACATCACGTGATATCTCACTCTCACATACAGTACTTAACATCACGTGATATTTTACTCTCACATACAGTACTTAACATCACATGATATCTACCTCTCACATACAGTACTTAACATCACATGGTATCTAACTCTCACATACAATACTTAACGTCACATGATATCTTACTCTCACATACAGTACTTAACATCACATGATATATAACTCTCACATACAGCACTTAACATCACGTGATATCTAACTCTCACACACAGTACTCAACATCACGTGATATTTTACTCTCACATACAGTACTTAACATCACATGATATAGAACTCTCACATACAGCACTTAACATCACGTGATATCTAACTCTCACATACAGTACTTAACATCACGTGATATTTTACTCTCACATACAGTACTTAACATCACGTGATATAGAACTCTCACATACAGTACTTAACATCACATGATATAGAACTCTCACATACAGTACTTAACATCACGTGATATCTCACTCTCACATGCAGTACTTAACATCACATGATATCTCACTCTCACATACAGTACTTAACATCATGTGATATCTAACTCTCACATACAGAACTTAACATCACGTGATATTGAATTCTCATATAAATACTTTACATCACCTGATATCTAACTCTCACATACAGTACTTAACATCACATGATATCTTACTTTCACATACAGAACTTAACATCACGTGATATTGAATTCTCATATAAATCCTTTACATCACCTGATATCTAACTCTCACATACAGTACTTAACATCACTTGATATCTAATTTTCAAATACAGTACTTAACATCACGTGATATGATATCTCACTCTCACATACAGTACTTAACATCAAATGATATCTAACTCTCACATACAGTACTTTACATCACGTGATATCTCACTCTCACATGGAGTACTTAACATCACATGATATCTCACACTCACATACAGTACTTAACATCATGAGATATCTAACTCTCACATACAGAACTTAACATCACGTGATGTCTAACTCTCATATACAGTACTTAATATCACGTGATATCGAATTCTCATATAAATACTTTAAATCACCTGATATCTAACTCTCACATACAGTACTTTACATCACGTGATATCTCACTCTCACATGGAGTACTTAACATCACATGATATCTCACACTCACATACAGTACTTAACATCATGAGATATCTAACTCTCACATACAGAACTTAACATCACGTGATGTCTAACTCTCATATACAGTACTTAACATCACGTGATATTTAACTCTCACATACAGTACTTAACATCACGTGATATCTCACTCTCACATGCAGTACTTAACATCACATGATATCTTACTTTCACATACAGAACTTAACATCACGTGATGTCTAACTCTCATATACAGTACTTAATATCACGTGATATCGAATTCTCATATACATACTTTACATCACCTGATATCTAACCCTCACATACAGTACTTAACATCACGTGAACTCTCACATACAGTACTTAACATCACATGATATCTTACTTTCACATACAGTACTTAACATCACGTGATATCTAACTCTCATATACAAACTCTCACATACAGTACTTAACATCACATGATATCTTACTCTCTCATACAGTACTTAACATCACATGATATCTTACTCTCTCATACAGTACTTAACATCACATGATATCTTACTCTCTCATACAGTACTTAACATCACATGATATCTTACTCTCTCATACAGTACTTAACATCACATGATATCTTACTTTCACATACAGAACTTAACATCACGTGATATCTAAGTCTCATATACAGTACTTAACATCACATGATATAGAACTCTCACATACAGCACTTAAGATCACGTGATATCTAACTCTCACATACAGTACTTTAACATCACATGATATCTAACTCTCATATACAGTACTTAACATCACATGATATAGAACTTTCACATACAGTACTTAACATCACGTGATATCTAACTCATATACAGTACTTAATATCATGTGATATCTAACTCTCACATACAGTACTTAACATCACATGATATCTAACTCTCACATACAGTACTTAACATCACGTGAACTCTCACATACAGTACTTAACATGACATGATATCTAACTCTCACATACAGTACTTTAACATCACGTGATATCTAACTCTCACATACAGCACTTAACATCACATGATATAGAACTCTCACATACAGCACTTAACATCACGTGATAATTAACTCTCATATACAGTACTTAACATCACGTGATATCGAACTCTCATATACAGTACTTAACATCAACGTGATATAGAACTCTCACATACAGTACTTAACATCACGTGATATCGAACTCTCATATACAGTACTTAACATCACGTGATATCTAACTCGTACATACAGCACTTAACATCACGTGATATCTAACTCTCATATACTACAGTACTTAACATCACGTGATATTTAACTCTCACATACAGTTCTTAACATCACGTGATATCTAACTCTCACATACAGCACTTAACATCACATGATATAGAACTCTCACATACAGTACTTAACATCACATGATATAGAACTCTCACATACAGCACTTAACAGCACGTGATATCTAACTCTCACATACAGTACTTTAACATCACGTGATATCTAACTCTCACATACAGCACTTAACATCACGTGATAATTAACTCTCATATACAGTACTTAACATCACGTGATATCGAACTCTCATATACAGTACTTAACATCAACGTGATATAGAACTCTCACATACAGTACTTAACATCACATGATATCTTACTCTCATATACAGTTCTTAACATCACGTAATATCTAACTCTCACATACAGTACTTAACATCACATGATATCTTACTTTCACATACAGTACTTAACATCACGTGATATCGAATTCTCATATACAGTACTTAACATCACGTGATATCGAACTCTCATATACAGTACTTAACATCACGTGATATCGAACTCTCATATACAGTACTTAACATCACGTGATATCTAACTCTCACATACAGCACTTAACATCACGTGATAATTAACTCTCATATACAGTACTTAACATCACGTGATAATTAACTCTTACATACAGCACTTAACATCACGTGATATCTAACTCTCACATACAGTACTTAACATCACGTGATATCTAACTCTCATATAAGGTACTTAACATCACATGATATCTAACTCTCACATACAGTATTTTAACATCACGTGATATCTAACTCTCACATACAGTACTTAACATCATGTGATATAGAACTCTCACATACAGTACTTAACATCACGTGATATAGAACTCTCACATACAGTACTTAACATCACGTGATATAGAACTCTTACATACAGTACTTAACATCACGTGATATAGAACTCTCACATACAGTACTTAACATCACGTGATATTTAACTCTTACATACAGTACTTAACATCACGTGATATCTAACTCATATACAGTACTTAACATCACGTGCTATCTCACTCTCACATACAGTACTTAACATCACGTGATATCTAACTCTCACATACAGTACTTAATATCAAGTGATATCTAACTCTGACATTCAGTACTTAACATCACCTTTGAAGGAATTTGCTGGTTACTATCATGTTGTTTTAATCGCCTTTTTCTTGCTATATATTTTATGTAATTAAATATCTGTTAATATCACTTGTTTCGATGTGAGTTTTGCTTAATATCATCAGCTCACCTGTCGAGGGTGAGGCATCCTGTTACATGTGAGGCCCCTTCCAGAATAGGAATCAGAATCAGAAATTTGATAGATATGTTCTTGACATTTTGTACTGTTGCACTACTGTTTTTGGTTATGTACACGCCACAGAAGAGGCGACTAATGTTGGAACCCCATGCAGCACCGTGAATTTCCATACTGCGGAGGTTGATACCACATTCATATATGTTTAAGTATAGTAGATCTGTTCTCCTGGCTCTTAGACCAGTGAGTCATGATATTACTACACATCTTCTAGAGAATTTTCAGTAATCAAATTCGAAAAAAATAAATTGTACACAAGACGTGGGACACGGGCAGGAAAGGTTGCTGTTAGGCGAATACCAAGTGTTATGGTCGTTAAATCAAACAGAACCAATTTGGTCACTACAAATGGTCTGTCCGCCTCGCACACTTTCTTGCACGGCCACACTGCACTTACAGAAGTATCAGGTATCAACACTTTTTTGCATTCTAGTTACGCTACTTCCACATGGATTCCGACATCATCAGTATCGTACGAGAATCTACATGTCATCAAGCCAACAACAGCTGGTCACTAAGTCAATTATTTCGCTGAATTAAGTGTCTTTAAACTGTCGCTCGGTGAAGAATAAGTCATTGTCCATTGGAGATTTTGTAACATCCAGGACATTGACATTCTTGCATTGACAGAGGTTAGGTTCAGATAATGATGACCAGGTACTAGCTGAGCTAATACCAACAGGCTATGGATTCCTCCACAATGCTAGACAAACGTGGTGGTGGGTTGGTTGTTCTGTTTAAGTAAGGCCTAAGTTTGAGACATCTCTCTTCCAGCCATGATGATGTATACACACAATTTGAGCACATGACTTGTTCTGTCATTGTTGGTGATAAACAATTTAGTTTGTGTATCATTTACAGGGGTCAAATATGATTAAAACTTGAAACAACTTCTTCTGAATAATCAAAACACCCAGGGTGATGATATTTGGCCAGTAGTATGCTGGGATGAAGGGCTACCAAGTTTGTTCAAATTAATGACCTTGAGTTATATTCAAGGTCACAGGGGTCAAATATGTTTAAAACCTTTAAACAACTTCTTCTGAATAACCAAGAAGCATATGATAATGCTGTTTGGTCAGTAATTTGCTGGGATCAAGGGCTACCAATTTTGTTCCAATGAATGACCTTTACCTGAATTCAAGGTCACATAGGTCAAATATGTTTCAAGCCTTTAAACAACTTCTTCTCAATAACCAAAAGGCCTAGGGTTATGATAGTTGGCAAGTAACATGCTGGGATGAAGGGCTACCAAGTTTGTTTAAATGAATGACCTTGACAAATAGTCAAGGTCACAATGGTGAAATATGTTTAAAACCTTTAAACAACTTCTTCTCAAATACTGAAAGTCCTAGGATGGTGATATTTAAGTAGTAGCATGCTAGAATAAAGGGCTACCAAGTTTGATCAAATAAATGACCTTCACCAATTTCAAGGTCACAGGGGTCAAATATGTATAAAACCTTAAAACAACTGCTTCTGAATAACTCAGGCCCAGGATGATGATATTTGGCCAGTAGCATGCTAGAAAAAAGGGCTACCAAGTTTGTTAAAATGAATGAACTTTACTTATATTCAAGGTCAAAAGCAATGAAATATGTTCAAAATCTTAAAAAAACTTCTTCTGAATAACCAAATGTCGCAGGATGATGATATTAGGCCTGTAACATGATGGGATGAAGGGCTATCAAATTTGTTCAAATGAATGACCTTGAATTATATTCAAAGTCACAGGGGTCAAATATGTTAAAATCTTTAAACAACTTCTGCATAACCATAAGGCCTAGAATGTTGATATCTGTCAGTAGCATGCTGGGATTAAGAACTACCAAGTTTATTCAAGTGAATGACCTTGATTATATTCAAGGTCACAGGGGTCAAATTTGTTTAAAATCTTTAAAAAAAATCTTCTGAATAAACATGAGGTCCAGAATGTTGATATTTAGCCAGTAGCATGCTTCTATGAAGGTCTATCAAGCTTTTTCATTTGAATGACCTTAACCCACTTTCGAGGTCACATTTACTCAAATATGTTAAAACATTTAAATGACTTAATTTCAATAAACAAAAGGATAGGTAGGTGATGTTTTGCACATTGCATCCTGAGATAATGGGCTATAAGATTTGTTCAACATAATGACCTTGTTCAACTTTCAAGGTCTCAGGAGTGAAATGTTTTTAAATCTTTCAACAGGTTCTTTTGAATTACTTTTAATCATAAATACTGATCATTTTCCTTTAGCTTTATTTAAGATCACTATTAAGGTTACAAATATGAGATGTATACCAGGTGAGCGATGTAGGCCCTTTGGGCCTCTTGTTTAATCAGTGAGTAATTCTTATGTTTTCCGGACAAACCTCTGGTTAATTTTTTTGTCAGTTTACAGACGATGGCCAAACGTCTAAAATATCCTTGTGTAGTGTCCAGCAGGTCACGTAGTAACGAGATATAGCTTGATAAAATGGCTGTGCGGAAATATATAACGCATGGAAACCAATGACTAGACGCGTACGGTATTGACAGTTTTACCAACAAATTATTTTTACTGAGAATTGTCAACTGATAATATGGAGTTAAATAACCACCAAATACAATACCAGTACAAACTAGTCATAGGGATTGGAAATTCCTTAATTATCAGCCTTTAGCTTTGGTGAAAATGATTTGCTCCAAATATGCATGTTCAGTTCTCTTACATCATTTTTAGGTCACCTGAGCTTTGCTCAAGTGACCTATTCTAATCGCTTTCCGTCCGTCGTCGTCCATCGTGCGTCGTGCGTAAACTTTTTACATTTTCAACTTCTTCTCAAGAACCAGTGTTGTTGTTTTTTCAAACTTGGTCAGAATCATCCTTGGTAGATGAGGCTTCAAAATTGTAAAATTGGGATTCCTACCCCAACCCCTGAGGCCAGGGCGGGGCCCCAAAGGGAAAATTAATCAATATTTCAAAAATCATCTTCTCCAGACTCAGAGGTACTACATTCATTTTCTCTGCATGGAAAGTAAGATCATCAGGGGCTTTATTTAAATCGTAAATTTCAGGAACCCTGAGCTATCCGTTTTCCCTTGGGGAGGGGGTAAAGTTTACTATAGTTTATTTAGGGAAATAACACTTTCGGGTATATTTTATCCATTTTCAAAAGAAAATTACTCAAACTTAGTCAGAATCATCTTTGGTGAATGAGAGTATTACTTTGTAAAATTGGGATTCCTTCCCCATCCCCAGGGGCTAGGGCAGGGCCCAAAGGGAACATTTACCAATATTTTCAAATTCTTATCCTTTGATGACATGACAAGTATTGTTTTTCACTTAGTTTACTTGTGATTTCCACATCACATCTAAACAATAAAATAAAGCTACCAGTACCTATAATATAACTCAGGTGACCGCTAAGGCCCTTGGGCCTCTTGTTATTTCATTTTAACAGATGAAAGAAAGAAAAAAAGAAATTATTTGCAACTTGTTTGTGTTTTATGGTCATAAAACATGAACATTTTCTTCAAGTAAATCAACCACATGCTTTCTTATCATATCCTAGGTTGGCATGGTTACCTAAACAGCGTGTATGCATACCAGGTCATTGTTAGACCATTTTGATTGACAGGTGGAAATATGTCAGTTGTAGCTTGGTCAATGATTTATTATACTGAAAATAATCATACAGGAGATGGGGTGACTTTCATGTCATTTTGACATATTTCTAGTTGAGCTTGTTTTAAAATGCACTCAACTAACTTAACTTTAGATGCATAAATGATATTAACTGCCTCAGAATTGTTTTTGAAAATAACTTATTGAAAATGAAATGCATTCATTGCCTTTGTTCATGATATTTTGTTCTTTGTGTCTTTTCAGGTGCTACCAAGGATATTGGTTCAGCCTTAACAAGACTTTGTATGCGGCATAGAACGATAGAGGCCAAACTTAAGAGTCTGACTTTGTAAGTGTTTTAAGGCCAAAATGAATTAATTTGTTATACCCCCTGCAACGAAGTTAAGGGGGGGGGGGGGGGGGGGGGGGGGGGGGGGGTTATACTGGAATCAGCTTGTCTGTCTGTCTGTCCATAGAATTTGTTTGTCAGGACAACTCCTTCTAAAGTAATGGACCCATTTCAATGAAACTTTCCCCATATGATAACTACCACCTGATGTTGTGTATCCAGGTATTATTTTTTCATTCTGACCTTTTTAGGTCACCTGAGCTTTAGCTCAAGTGACCTATTGCTATCCGTTTTCGTCCGTCGTCGTCCGTCGTCCATCGTCCGTCGTCCGTTAACATTTTACATTTCAAACTTAAAGTCAAGTTCTGCTGGGCCGATTGAACTAAAAGTTGGTAGGAATGATCCCCTCATGGTCCTGACAAAGTGTTGTTATTTTTAGGGTCGATCAGAAATCCAATATGGCCGCCCCAGCGGCCATTTTGAAAACCTATTTCAAACTTAAAGTCAAGTTCTGCTGGACCGATTGAACTGAAAGTTGGTAGGAATGATCGCCTCATGGTCCTGACAAAGTGTTGTTATTTTT